AAAAAAAAAAAAAGTATCTTTGTGGGACTTCATTGTTTGGCTAAGAAAATGTGTGGACTGTCAGGAGGTCCCAAACAATTTCAAAAGGCCCCAGATATCACCAGAGACCCACAGATAATCTTGAGCTTGAGGGTCCCTGTAGTTGCTGTTAGTTGCGGAGCTTCATGCTGCCGCAGATGTTGTCCCTTCTTCACCATGGTACTGCACTGTTCATTTCTGTGGGTTCGTCCCTAATTGTACTCCATCAGAAGCATCTTTTAGCTGAGAATTTGTAATATGTTTCTACAGTTCCTTCTTTTGTCACTGCTAATTTGTAGAGCACAATTTGGTTCTGGGTCTCATACCTAGTACTTGTCAATCCCCACCCCTCAGTCTGGGTTTTTTATCCCACTGCTTACAAAGGCCAAGCAGTCACATTCATCCCTTCCCAGGAGTTCTGCCTCTTGGCCATCTGCAGAGATTGTACAGTAGGGTCTACTGCTATTTTTCAAGGCTTTTTGCCAAAATTTCTCCAAGCCAAAAAGCCTTTGACCCTATTAACCTTTTTTGTGTCGCCACCCCCCCAATTCTGACTAAATTTATTTTCTAGGCATTGGGCCAACTTAGGCAATAAGGGTTGTGAATATGTTCAACGGGGAAGTTCTTGACACATTGCCACATACAAGTGTTTCCCCCACATTTCACGATTTCGTTCACTTGATAAATAAGCCATTTTGTCCTGAAAATCAGGCATTTACGCACAGATTTCTAAATTTAAATATTTGGTTCCAGAGAAAGAGAATGTGCTTTTAACCTGTGCTTCTTGGAGGAAAGTAAGCAGGGTATGTTTGTTTGCCAAGGCAGTGAGGGATGGGTAACGAGCTCTGTGGCTGCCTACAGGGGTGGGCAGCAGAACAGCCAGCCCCAAAGTGAGGTTAGAGGTTTGATTTCTACCTGCTGTGGCTTAGCCATGCCTTACAAATCACTTAGCTTCTGCCCTGCCAGCCTGGCTCAGCAGTTGAGCATCAACCTATGATCCAGGAGATCCCGGTTCAGTTCCCAATCAGGGCATATGCCCAGGTTCGGGGCTTAGTCCCCAGTAGGGAGCATGTAGGAGGCAGCTGATCAATGATACTCATTGACGTTTCTCTCTCTTTCCCCTTCCCCTCCTCTCTCTGAAATTAATAAAGATATATATATGTTTTAAATCACTTAGCTTCTCACTTTTCCTATAAAATGAGGGTAACACCTCTTATTAAATAAAGTAATGAAGCCTAAATGGAATAATGGAGACATTTTAAATTGTGGTGTACAGTATCAATACAGCTGTGTCTGTGTAGTAGAGTGTAAGTTACAGAACATGATCATGTGTTATCTCAACCCTTCCGATCCTCAAATCACTAGTAAGTTGTTTGGGAGCTTTAGAAATTACACAAGGAGACTGAAGGTCCAGTGTGGTCATTGTCTTGGGTTTCATACCTAGTAAGAGATCCAGGGCTCAAAGCCATATTATCAGGCTCTTCATCAATATTCTTGCTACAATAGTTCCCTCTCTTTTTATGTGATTATGGCATTAGGGACAAAGTAAGGAAGTTAAGAAGGACCCTTTGGGCCTGGTTCTTTATATTAAGCTGGGAATTAAATTAAGTCCAAAAACTTGGCCTTAAAAAAAACCCTCAGTAGTAGTCCTAAGAGAACTCTTGCTGCTTATCCTGGTAAACAGGCCCTCACAATTCAGCAAGAGCTCCTGTCTTGCTCTCACACACACACACACACACACTTTACCCACTCAGACGAGCAGGACCACATCTTCAAGGGTCCATCTCAGGCTTAATGTCCTGCTTTATCCTTGTATAGTAGGTAGAGGGAATTTTTGTTTTATTTTCAATTTAAACACTACTTGTGGTTTTGTTATGTGACTGGCATAAGGTGGAGTTGCCTTTAAGAATTTGAAACTCAATATTCTGATGTCTCAAGCTAAAGAAAAAATATCCAGTCCATGTAAAATACGGTTAACAGTAGTCAAGTTCATTTGCTTATTAGTTCTGCCACAATACCAGTTTGCTTTGTTATGGCTGATAGAAAAATTATAGCAAAAGCATTTTTAAAATGGGCTTTTAACAATGAAAATAAATACATAACTAAACTTCACAGAATATGTGATTATTTGTTATTTTTTTTCTTCCACCACCTGTTCTCCCTGATTTCATGAGAAGAAAATGCTGAGCCAGACCTGGATGACAATGAGGACGAAGAGGAGCCTGCCGTGGAAATTGAACCTGAGCCAGAGCCTCAGCCTGTGACCCCAGCCCCACCACCCGCCAAGAAGCGGAGAGGACGCCCCCCCGGCAGAACCAACCAACCCAAACAGACCCAGCGTAAGTTACTTGTCTCAGCTCAGTTACTGGCTGGCACCTTCTCCCAGCACGGGGAAGCCAGGCAGGTCCTTGTTCTGGGGAAGATGGGAACTAAGCCATGAGAAGTTAGGGTGGTGCCAGGAATAAACTCAGGAAGCAGTTTTTTTAGTCTTTACTGGGGAACATCTGAGGCCTGTTACCTTTCAGGGAATAAAAGTTTAGCATAGAAGGGTAGTTATGTTCTACAAGATGGGTACTGTTAATGTGGGAGGTTTTACAAAATAACCAAAGTCACAGTTAGCTAGCAGAATTGATGTGGTAATGAATGGAAAAGAGCCAAACTTTAAAGGATGGAGAGAGAAAACAATTTCTGTGCTGAGGTGGTTCCTCCTCTTAAGAAATCCAGGCCTGTGGATTTAGTTGCTAGCCTTCTGATACCTGTTTAGTGTCAAGTATGGAAGGACCTTTGCAATCTTTGGGGGCTTTAATGGAGCATTTGTTTTGTTCGTGCCCTTTTTTGCCAGCAACAGCTATCATTCAGGTTGAAGATCAGAATACAGGTGCAATTGAGAACATTATAGTTGAAGTAAAAAAAGAGCCAGAAGCAGAGCCCGCGGAGGGGGAGGAAGAGGAGGCCCAGCCAGCTGCCACAGACGCCCCCAATGGAGACCTCACCCCCGAGATGATCCTCAGCATGATGGACCGGTGATGGCAGGGCCTTGCCATTGCCAGGACTGCTCTGGGCTGTGTTTAAACGGCCTGCATCTTAATTTTTCTCCCTTTTTTCTTCTTTTGCTTTGGGAAAAGCACCATTTTACCAAACATACTGAAAACTAAAACTTCAAGGATGATGTTAGAAAAATGTGATTTAACTAGAACTTGCCGTTTGATGTTAGCAAATCATGGAATGTTCTGAGTCCCTGAGGGTTTACCGTGAAGTGCTGAGGACAGTGTTGACGCCTAACTGGTTTTCTTAGCTGGAAACGGAGACATTGGACCCTCTCTCTTGCTATGGTAACCACTTCAGAATGGCCACCGGGTTTCCCAGAGTTCTATGGTCTTCTTCCCAGGAGAGTTTTTAATTGTAAATGCAGACTTGGGAAGGATTTAAACTTTTAAACTGGTTTTTGCTTTTGCTTTTTCCCTGACTCCCTTTGCTTGGAGTCGGCTGCACACCAATAATATGGCATGCTACGATCGGTTTTTGTCCCGAAGGCTTTGCCTCTTTCTTGGCAAAGTTTCTGGTATGGTCAAGCTTGTAAATAACTTTTTTTACATTTTAATCTTTTCCATTAATTAAGAGGTTGAAAAGAAGTGCAGTGTAAGAAAACCCAGCATTTTAATTACTTGCAAATTAAGTTACCACAGACTGTAGTGTGTAAATGTTGACAAGGAATCGGATCGCAATCATGTAGCAGAATGGCACCCAGACTGCTGCCTGCTAGAAACCGACACCCATGTGGAAGATCGTGATTTCCAGTCCATGGAGCCAGCATTTGAACCTTGTACAATTAACTTCCAGTTATGATTTCCCATCCACATTTTCTTTTCTCTGTTTGTAGCTGAATTTTGTGTTTTATAAATCCTCTGTTAACGCCGAAGGGTGATTATGAGTGGGTTACAGCAGCCCTTAAAAGCTGGGCCAGAAAATTTCACTAGGTCAGTAATTTAAACTTTGGATCTTCAAAAAAAAAAATAATGTGAAGCAAAACCAATTCAAAAATGATTCTTGCACATGAACTGTCATGTTTAAAATGTGTTTTTTAGAGAGCCTCAGTCTTGTTGATTTCAAACATTTTTTTTCTTCTGTGTATTGCTTTTAAGAGAGCCATCAGTTAGCTATCAGACTCTAGGTTGAAACATTTTGTACTTAGCTGTACTGTGTGATATTTTTCATTATTTTAGGACACCAACATGAGACCTGTAATAAAATATGTAATGGGGTTGAAAGCTGGGGAGGAGGATCTACTGCTGTACAGCTAATAAATCATAACGGATTAACAAGTGCTCCAAACCCTGTCTTGCGTGATTCCTGCCTAAGGAGAGGCCCAGGGGATCCACATGCATGGCCTCAGGTGGTACAGGCCTAAGGTACAGGCAGGCTGTTGGCCACTTCCTCTTTAGCAGATGGGAGATGATCTTGGCATATGGTGGGCTACTAAGTACATCCTGCTGCAAGTTTTAACTCCCTGAAAGTGTGTGTGTAAGTGGATGGACATCTGCCAGCGTCCATGATACACTTTAGAGAGCGGGTCCCCATTGCAGAGGGGTGGGCCACAGAGCTTAGAGTAGAAAGGGCTGATGGGAAGCTCTGTCCTCAAAAAGGGTTGTGATCAGTACCTCAAATTCTGCCAAGTGCAGGGGATGGGAAAGAAGCTCCTAGACAGCACAGCTGCTTGTTAGCACCACGGGAAGCAGGATGCAAAGGGAGTTGTTAGGAAGTTTATGTGTTAGTGAAAGACATCTGCTGGCCATTTCTGGGCAGATTGCTTTGGTGAACCCATTTTAGGTGAAAGCTTCAGCCACTAATTTTAGGGGTTTTTAACCAGAATTCCAACTTAGTTTTCAGTGAGGGGTAACAAAGGACAAGATGTATGTAGCCTTTGGCTGGCTTGTGCTGTCCATGCAGTCAGGTCTCCAGGTAAACATATTATCTGGGGCCTCAAGATTAAACCAGGAGCATTCCGTCCATGGGCTAGCCACCCACAGAGACCAGAATTGTCTCACTGGACACATAGCTTTTGCCAATTGTTAGGTATTTATAATAGAAAATACCTACAAAATAGACATTTATCTTCAACAGAGCTTTTATTTCTCATTGTATAAACTCAAATGTTTGAAAGTTTAAATGTAGATTTGTTTTGGATAGAGGGAGGTGCTCACAAGAAAAGTGACATGCTCATGGGATTTAAGGCTGAAAAGGGACCTCCCCCCATTGCATAGCCCATAATAATCCTGTGTGGCCATTAAAAAAGCCTTCAGCAAAAGCCAGTTCTTAACTATTCACACCTGAGAACTTACGGGGAAGTTCCCTGGCCTGTCTGTAACCCTCTTCCCTACTGTTAAACCGTAGTAGGTACTGGAGTAAGAAATAGTCTCACCTAAGTGGTGTTGCCTGTCCACTGCTGCCCAGCTCAGCAAGCATTAAGCCCTCTTGCTTTTGATCTGGATCTTGTCTTTTAAAACCATCTGAGGGAGCCTTGTGGCAGCCCTGGGAGGTGCTGCCTGGCCTGTCCGCCTCGCCTGGTGCTACTGGAGCAGGCGGGGTTTATTCCACATTATGAGCTGTTAGCATTTCCTGAGCGCCCACGGGGTGTCATGCTGTTTGGAACACAGGCCGGCTTGAACAAGCTGAAGGCCTCTCCCCCTCGCACTGAGTCACTGTCACTGCTTGTTGGAGCTGAGTCCCATGTGTTTACTTGCTGTTTGTTTTGTCACTGGCTAGCTCAACACTCCTGTCCTGATCTTCAGGCTGATCCAGATTTCCTCCTTAGCCCCCTGCCTGCCCTCACAGCACTCACTGGACCATAGGGACTGATGCCACAAGCGTGGCTGCTGGCCTTAAGAGTCACTCTCCACCTGGGAACAGCTCAGGCCCTTTGGCAATCATTCACTCTTTTATTTCTCACCGTTATTCTAAACAGAAAAATCTCAGTGAGGTGGGTTTTTTGTGGTTCTGTTTTGGAGTCCTACGGTTGCCATGGTATACTTGGCAAATGTGAGTGTTCACTGAGTGCCAGGCACTGTTGTGAGCACGTCTCTTAATATTTAATCCTTAGAGCAACACTTTGAGGTAAGTTAATAGCTTCAGCTGCAACTGGAACTGGAAACCCAGAAAGGTTAAGTAACTTACTCAGTGTCAAACAGCTGGTAAAAGGTGGAGTAAGGGTTTGAATTCAGGCAGTCTGCCTTCAGAATCTGCATTCTTGACCACTTAGCTATAGTGTGTGAGACCTATTAAGTTCTTATCCTAAAAGCAGTTTGTGGGTTCTTTTTTGAAAAAATACCTTTATTGATTTCAAAGAGAGGAAGGGAGAGGGAGAGAGATAGACATCAATGATGAGAGAGTTGTCATTGATCAGCTTCCTCCTGCACGCCCCGACTGGGGATCAAGCCCGCAATCCAGGCATGTGCCCTGACTGGGAATTGGACCACGATCTCCTGGTCCACGCCCCGCCGGGCAGTTTGTGGGTTCTATGTGGTCCTAGAAAGAGTCTTAGATCTTAACCATATCTCAACTCCTTTCAAATTGAGAGGCAGCAAAGCAGCACCTCCTCTTGAGCCTCTATTGGCAGGAACTCAACTCACTCTCCAGCTGAGTCCTCCCCTGCCAGCCCTCGACTATCACACCATGGGCCTGTTGGTTGAGGAGAGATGGCTGCCCTCAACTTGTTAATATTCAGTTTCTACTTTCCACTTTGTTCTAGTCCTAGATGAGAAGGTGGTCTCACTGTCTCTGAGCTCCAAGGTGAAGGGGGGGTAGCTGGAGATGGGAAAGAAACCAAGGAGATTCTGCCAGTATATCCCACCTACTCATGGTTATTTCACCTCTGCCAGGCTGGACTGTGGGCAGGGTAGAGGATGTTTCTTATCTCATAAGTGGAGTTTAATTAAATTATAATGGAAGGGAGAGAAAAATAATCCCCTTGCCCTGCCGGCATGGCTCAACAGTTGAGCCTTGACCTATGACCCAGGAGATCAGGGTTCTATTCCGGGTCAGGGCACATGCTCAGGGGGCGTACAGGATGCAGCAGATCAATGATTCTCTTGCCATTGATGTTTGTCTCTCCCTCTCCCTTCCTCTCTATGAAATCAATTATTTTTTTAAAAAAATAATCCTCCCCCCCCCCTCCAGTGAACCTTCCAGAATCTAGGTCCCTGGTCTTTTATAAGGCAATGTGCTCACCCAACTCTGGACCTTCTGATCCCTCCCAGCCCTGAAGACAGTAGCTTCCCTCTCTCCTAGAGGTTCCCTCTCCCCAAACTCCAGGTCAGGAAGAATGCATGTACCTGGCCTTTGCTCATGAGTCACTCCATCCCTCCCTGAAGCTCTTGGGGTTCAGGTTTTAGCCAGAGGCTGCCCCCTGAGCAAACAGGCACCTCTGGCCCTGACCCAGCCTGAACCTGGTGAAAGCTGAGGAGCCTCTGCTGCAGAGAAGGGTATCTGGGCCCATCTGGTAATTTTTCCACCCCTTTAACAGTTCCTGGATCTTCGATGGGGTCACAGTCTCCAGGTTAGAAGCAGTAACAGATTAGGTGCTCCAGGTTAGGGCCCGGATATTGGGAGAGATCCCACGCTCCTGCTGAACAGATGCCCCCTCCTTTCCGCTGGGCTTTGGAGGGTACCAACCCGAGAGGGCCCCGGAGTGAATCCCCGAGCGGACAGCACCCCCTGGTGCTCAAGGCAGGGACTGCAGTATGGGGTAGAAGTAGGGGGCCAGACACCGCACGAGGCACGGGACACTCGCGCGACCCTGAAGGCCACACTACTCCCACCCCATGTCTGGCCTGACGGAGTAGCTCCTGCGCGACGGGGTGGACGGGCATATGGGACTCTGGCCGCCTCCTACACCCGCGTACCCGGGCGACGTCTCCGGGCCCGCGGAGGCCAGAGCGGGGAGGAGCCGGGCTGGGGGCGGCCTGGCAGGAAGCAGAGCGTACCTTCCGCTGCAGGAGCAGGTGGCTGCAGAGCAGGCCGGGCCCCAGGCTTCCTGTGCACGCCTACGAGCTGCAGTTTCTCATCGCAGCTCCTTGGGCTGCCCCGGCCGCCTGGCGCGGCCCCATGGCCCAGACCCCCGACGGCATATCCCATGAGCTGCGAGGTAAGCGCTGGCCCTTCTTGCCTACTTGGCTGCGAGGAAGCAGTGGGGCTGGGGGGAGTGAGGGGCAACCAGAGGCCAACCAAGCGCCCTGGGGATGCCCAGTAAGCGTTTTTCTCTTCTCCTTTGGAGGTCTTGCTACCTCAAGATCCACCCCACTTCTTCCTTACTGGCCCATAGACTAGACCAGGCCCCTAGCCTGGTACAGGCCATGGGTATGAATTGACCTCCATGGGAGGACCAGAATCATCTAGCAGGCTGCCCTTCCACAGGCGCGATCACCAGGTTCCTGTGGCCCAAGGAAGCAGATCTGCTGCTGAAAACCTGGCTACCAGAGCGGGAGGGTGCTGAACAAGCTCATGTCCTGGTATGGCAGGGGGACTGAGCCTGGGAGGGCACTGTGCCAAGCAAAAAGAGCCTTTTGCCCTGCTCAGGGTGTCAGACTCTCTCTCCCTCCAGGCATTGCTTCGATGGAGAGCCTACCTTCTCCACACCTGTCTCCCACTAAGGGTGAGTCAGTCCCAGGACCTGGTCACCACCCACCTGACCCTCCGGCAGCTTCCTTGACAAGAGGGCTGCATCTGCAGAACTGTTCATCTTGTCCTGTGGGCTCTGCGCTTCCAATGGCTTTGGACTCCAGGCAGCAGGCTGGACTGGAGTCTAGGTCCATCTAGATCTCAGCTCCAGGCTGCACAAAGGACTGGGTTCCCAAGAGGGTGGAGCTCAGGCCTTGGTCCAGGCTGATCTAGACACTCCACAGGTGGACTGCACGTTCAGCTACCTGGAGGTCCAGGCCATGGCACTGCAGGAGACACCCCCTCAGGTGAGAACCTTAGTACCTGCTAGGGCCTACCTTCACCTCCCGCTTCCCCTGTCCCCACACATGGAACCCAGCCCAGCCACTTGCTTTCCACAGGTCACCTTTGAGCTGGAGTCTCTGCCTGAGCTGGTCCTGGAGTTTCCTGGTGTGGCTGCCCTGGAACAGTTGGCCCAGCATGTCGCTGCAGCAATCAAGAAGGTCTTCCCTCACTCCACCCTTGGGTGAGGCCCAGCAATTGCAAGGGACTAGAAGAGAAGGACAGTGGGGGGAATGCTCTGGAGACACAAGCGGGCTGCTTCACATCCCAGAGGCTAGAAGTCCCTTGTCCCTTCTCCTTTATCCTTCTGCTCAGGAAGCTATTCCGGAAGCCCACAC